GAACCTGGAGCTCATGACCTGAGTCAAAGCCAAGAGCCAGATACTCAACCAACTGAGCCACCCACGTGCCCCGAAACAATATGGTTTCAACTGGTTTTTACTCAGTGCTGTTTGGATTATGTGTTCTGAAATCAAATGAAAAAAGATATTCAAAGCACCCAGGGCACAAATGACCCCGGACACCCCTCTCCTCTTCCCCGTGGCCTCCCCCCTTTGCAGTAACTTCTCGTGGTGGCTTCACCCTCTCTACCACTCCCTCAGGAGCATGTGTCATACAGCCCAGTACCCTGGGGATTTGGCCATTTGCAAATTCTGGAAAGATCCGCAGGGTGTGTGATGGTGTGGGTAATGGAGGTCTGAGTAGAAGGCGGTGTTTGGAGGCCACCGTGCCCACAGGAGGGGGGACAACTGGGAGGAGCAAGGGCCATGGAATGAGTGGGGTCCAGCTGCGCAGGTGTCTCAGTCCAGCTGTGGATCAGGAACTACTTTTGTTTGACAGCTAAGCCGTATCTCACCCTCAGCCATGCACATTCAGTGCTTTACTGAGCACCTAGCATATAAAAAACACCCAACAGGTACAAACTCTCACGGGGTGAATAAGTTCTGAGATCTAATGCAGGCATGGTGACTGCAGTTACTAATACCGTACTGCAGAGCTGAAATGTGCTAAGAGGATGGGTCTTAAATGTTCTCCCCTCACTCAGGAAAGGTAGCTATGTGAGGTGATGGAGGTGTGTTCATGGATCGTGGTGATCACAGTGTATACATGTATTAAATCAGCATCATGCCCCTTAAAGAAAAGAAAGGAGGTGGCTCAGTCGGTTAAGCGGCCAACTTCGGCTCAGGTCATGATCTCACGGTCCGTGGGTTCGAGCCCCGCGTCGGGCTCTGTGCTGACAGCTCAGAGCCTAGAGCCCGTTTCAGATTCTGTGTCTCCCTCTCTCTGACCCTCCCCCATTCATGGTCTGTCTCTCTCTGTCTCAAAAATAAATAAACGTTAACAAAAAAATTAAAAAAAAAAAGAAAAGAAAGGAAATAGGGTGTGGTCCTCGCCTTCCAGGAGCTCCCACACGTATCCCCCAGCCTCTGTCTGGAAAGCTTTCTCTTAAGACGGGCGTCTCGCCTGCTGTCTCCACCAGGAGAGAGGCTTCCTGGCTGAGTTCACGCTTCCTGCGAGGGGGAGATGTGAAAGGCGCTCACCCCATTACGGCTGCCCTGGGTGCAGGCCGTGGAGCAGATCGCCCACAATTTGCATTGAGTAAAACATTTACCCTTATCTTCTGCCACCTGCCCTTGGGCAGAACAGGCACTGTTTTACAGTTAAGGGAAGTAAGAGTGGGGCACGTAAGTCATAGGCTCCAGGTCACACATCTAGTAATTAGTGACTCAGGGTCTGGCTCTCATTTTCCCGAACACCAAAGCCCAGGGTTCTTGCCGTGTGGCACCTCAAGCCTGGCCAAGTGGACAGCGATGGCCAGATGCCACAACCAGCAGCCTGCCGGGCCATCTTCCCTCAGTCGCACAGGCCAGGGAGGATGTGCGACCCCTTCCCCCACACCCTCCACGCACCCCCAAGAGCTCTACCCTCCTGACAACATTGGAAACTCCCACCAACGGACGTCAGATTCCTTCTGTTCCATTTCTGGGAATTTTGACCGGGGCCGAGCAGAAGCCAGGAATGCTCGGCACGCCTGCAGCAGGAGTTAGCCCTGCTTACACCCACAGCTGCACCTCGGACACTCAACTCACAGGGTCCTTGAGGGCAGATGCCCACTGGGGGTGGCAGGAGATGAAGGAAGGGGAATCCCGGGCCCGAAAAACGTGGGGCTCCATCCAATCATCCTTCCTCTCCCCCAGGCCCTCCGCGTCCGCTACGTACCTGCCCAAGCCCGAGTCTCGTCTCCGGAGGTATCCTCTCAGCCAGCCATAGCATCTGCCCCAGGCCCCGTCCCGTCCTGCCTTGCAGCTCAGAGGCCAGGCTTTGCACAAGGCACCGCAGGGGTGCAGGACCGGGGGCCTGCGGACATGGTGAAGCAGACAGCGTGGCAAAGCTGGGGAACGAGGGAATGACCGGCGTGCACGTGTGCATGCGTGTGTACGTGCGCTCCCCTATGTGCACGTGGGTGCTCATGTGTATGCCTGTGTGCACGTGCCTGCGTGTGCGTGCACGTGTATGACATTGCTAACTAGTAGTCGAGCGACCCCTTCCCCCAAGCCCTCACAGAGCTCTCTCATCCTGTTCGGGTTTCAGCCGAAATGCTGCCTCCTCAGAGACCCCTTCCCTGGCCAGTCCGCTGAACTAACTCCTCCACATTCTGATGCTGCTTAATTTCTTTCACACACAGACCCTTACCTGCACACAGACACATGCACACACACGGGTGCACACGCCCCGTTTGCGTTTGCTGTCCGCAGTTGATCTCATCCACTGAAATAAAGGACGAGGGACCCTGGTTGTCCTGGAATCTGAGTTGAATGAGAAGACAGCAGGGGGGAATGTTTCTAGCAGCACGATCAACAACAGCCAAAGTGTGGAGAGAGCCCAAATGTCCATCGCTGGATGAATGGATAAAGAAGGTGTGATTTATATGTACAACAGAGTATTACTCGGCAATCAAAAGGAGTGAAATCTTGCCATGTGCAACCACGTGGATGGAACGAGAGGGTATTGTGCTAAGTGAAATTAGTCAGAGAAAGACAAATATCGTAAGACTTCCCTCTTATGAGGACGTTAAGACACAGAACAGATGAACATAAGGGAAGGGAAGCAAAAATAATATAAAAACAGGGAGAGGGACAAAACAGAAGAGACTCTTACATATGGAGAACAAACAGAGGGTTACTGGAGGGGGTGTGGGAGGGGGGATGGGCTAAATGGGTAACGGGCATTAAGGAATCTACTGCTGAAATCATTCTTGCACCATATGCTAACTAACTTGGATGGAAATTTTAAAAAATAAAATTCAAAAAAGAAAGAAAGACAGCGGTGGGGGGGGGGGGCGCCTGGTGGCTCAGTTGGTTGAGCATCCAACTTCAGATCAGGTCATGATCTCGCGGTTTGGGAGTTCGAGCCCCGCGTTGGGTTCTATGCTGACGGCTCGGAGCCTGGAGCCTGCTTCGGATTCTGTGTCTCCCTCGCTCTCTGCCCCTCCTCCGCTTGGACTCTGTCTCTCTCTCTCTCAAAAAGAAACAAACATTAAAGAAAAAAATTAAAAATAAATAAAATAAATGAATAAATAAGTAGATAAATAACTAAAGAGAAGACAGCAGGGACTCCACTTGGACAAACGGGGAGGAGCTGGCACAGTGTCCCCACAAGGCCACAGCCACCATCACAGAAACTTCTGTCACTGCTGCAGCCCGAGCCATGGGGCTGGAGACGACACGCTCACACTCACGGGGAGCCTGAGAAACCTCCAGTCTCCCTCTGTGTCACTCTCACCCCTCAAAGCGTCCAGGCAATCCCCACAGTGAAAAACCCAGAACTAGGCCACCCACGAAGGAGCCACAGACAGCCCGCCCCTCCAGCTCCCCGCTGATGCCCCAGCCAAAGAGGGTCTCAGACACAGTGAGGGTGATCCATCAATGTCTTTGAATGAACGGACCAACTAATAAGGAACCAGTGACACTCAGATTGATTAAAAGGCACTTGGGGGCACCTGGCCGGCTCAGTGGGTTCAGCATCTGACTCTTGGTTGCGGCTCAGGTCACGATGTCATGGTTCATGGGTTCAAGCCCTGCATCAGGCTCTGCACTGCCAGCGTGGAGCCTGCTTGGGATTCGCTCTCTCTCTCTCTCTCTCTCTCTCTCTCTCTCTGCCCCTCTCCCACTCATGCTCTCTATCTCTCAAAATAAATAAATAAACTTTAAAAAGGCAGTCTGCTTGGGATTCTGTCTCTCTCTCCCCCTCCTCCTCTCATGCTATCTTTTAAAGTAAATAAACTTTTAAAAAAGGCACTGGGAAATTAGAAGAATATGATTTCCAACAACCAAAAATTGTGTTTGGCTATTTAAATTTTTTTTTTCAACGTTTATTTATTTTTGGGACAGAGAGAGACAGAGCATGAACGGGGGAGGGGCAGAGAGAGAGGGAGACACAGAATCGGAAACAGGCTCCAGGCTCTAGGCTCTGAGCCATCAGCCCAGAGCCCGACGCGGGGCTCGAACTCGCGGACTGCGAGATCGTGACCTGGCCGAAGTCGGACGCTTAACCGACTGCGCCACCGAGGCGCCCCATGTGCTTGGCTATTTAAGAGCAACGCACGGCGTATCCGTGTAAGCGGGAAAGCTCATTGTTAACTCGGTGTGCACCATTTCCGAGCAGCGGAGAACATCACAATGCAGGTAACCACGTTTATCTGTGGAGGCTGGTTGTCGCTCGTGACTTGGGAACTAGAGCAGGACCGTCTTGCATCCACTTCCCGCAGCCCTTACCTCACCGTGTGTGGGCAGACCTTGTTTACGGTCTCGGCCACCTGCAGGGGCCGCTGCCCCGGGGCGGGGCCTGCAGGGCAAGTCTAAGCACGCAGATGCAGCCAGCACAGAGCCGGGGCTCCGCAAGGGCTGAGTGAGTAAAAAGGAAGAAATCTGTGCGTGGTCTGCTCCATTATAACCAGCCTTGATAAGGTCGAGCCCACGACACCCCCGCTGTTTCCACTGATGGTACAATGAATACACAGGGCCACGCCGGGGGCTGACAGCAGGTGACATGCTTGTAGCACAGCGCTGAACCAGAATGATACCTTTACTCCTTAGAGCAGAGGTTCTCAGCCGGCAGTCGTCTGCCCCCTGAAAGGCAGCGGACAATCCTGGGGACATTTTTGACTGTCCTGAGGGTGCCGCTGGCATCTAGCGAGGGATCCTGCTCAATGTCCCACAATGCACAGGGCAGCCCCCCCACGACAGAGGACTGTCCAGTCTGAGATGCCCACTATGCCGAGGGTGTGAGATGCTGCCGTAAAGCAAAGGGTTCAAGCCCAAGACCTTAGACCAAGACCCACCTTTGGACAGCTTCCTCTCTGTGGGTCCCCCCAACTGGTGGCCCAGTGCAGGTGTGGTCTGGCCTGTTGGGGGTGAGGAGGTCAGGGGTAGGAGGACGGTGCAGGAAGCGGGGTTCAGCCAGTCTGGCCAGCTTTTTCTGGGACCACAAGCCCTGAGGACGAAAAGAAAACTTGAGTGCTGACTGGAGGAAAGTCCCAGCCGACTCTGCCCACCTTCATCTGGAAGAAAAAAGCCTCCACTTCTCCCAGAGACAGGCCAAAACACAGCTCCTGCAGCCCGAGGCAGTCGCTCCAGCCCCTTCTTCCACCCTGTTTCCTCACTCGGAAAGTGGAGGGGCACCCGGGCGGCTCAGTCGGTTAAGACTCTTGATCTCGGCTCAGGTGGTGATCTCGCGGTTCGTGAGTTCGAGCCCCACGTCAGGGCAGATAGCACAGAACCTGCTTGGGATTCTCGACTCCCCTTCTCTCTCTGCCCCCTCCCCTGCTCACGCTATCTGTCAAAAATAAATAAACATTAAGGGGGCGCCTGGGTGGCTCAGTCGGTTAAGTGTCCGACTTCGGCTCAGGTCATGATCTCGCAATCCAGAAGTTCGAGCCCCACGTCGGGCTCTGTGCTGACGGCTCAGAGCCTGGAGCCCGCTTCAGCTTCTGTGTCTCCCTCTCTCTCTGCCCCTCCCCCACTCATGTTGTCTCTCTCTCTCTCTCTCTCTCTCTCTCTCAAATAAATAAACGTTAAAAAAAATAAGAAAATGGAAATTTAACAGTGTGTCTGTGCAGCATGGGAACGAAAACGGATTTGAAAGCCCTTTGAACGTTGCAGTGGGTTACACAAGGCAAATCGACCCACCCAGCTTTCTAGTTGCTTGAAAACCCTCCCAGACCCAGGCCCCCTCCGGGGGGACATGGGCCCTTCCTGTGCCCGCCATGGCTTGTTGCAGCGGTGGAGGCTGTGGAAGGTACTGGAAGGGCTCACAAGGCTCCTTCCTCAGGAGTCAGAGGGGAGGCTTGCAGGGTCACGGGAAAGGCTGTGCAAATGTACAGGTGAATCGTAAAGTGAGGACAGCCACGGAAACCCTCCATAATCATGTCAAGTAACAAAAGCAATTCACTGAATAAGGTGTAGCATGATCACACTGGTGTGAGGAAAAGAACAAAAAGGAAATCTGCGTGTGTGTGCACACACAAGTCAGTGTAGAGAAAAAAGCCAAGAGCCTAAGAAAGAACGTTCACAGCATTTATCTCTGGGAAAGAGAAGGAAGCTTACAAGGGCAGGTAGTGAATAAATCTTGCCATTATGCATTCTGTACACTTTTATTGTTTGCTTATTTTACAAGCACAGCAGCATGGATTATTATAAAATTTTTAATGTTTAAAAAAAAACAAAAACCTTTTATGGGCTGGGTTCAGCTATGTTTAACCACGTATTAACATTAGCAAATCCTACAATCACACGCAAACGAAAACAATGTAGACGTGGTATTTGCATTTGATATATCAGCACATTTGTTGTGCACTGAGGATAAATAACAATTATCCAAAGCCAAGAATGAGGGCAGACGGCTTCCTGAAAGTCACTCCAGTTCCAGTGCCCTGACCTTCTGAGCCCAGTGCTTGGAACCCCAAAATGGGGGCTCTCGATGGCCTGAGATACAATGAATCCAACCAACTTCAACTCAAGAGAGCCCGGTGGGGGCCGCCCCCTGGGCAGATAATAGAAATCCAAACTCCATTCAGGTTAAGTCTCCACCTTCAAGGAAGGTGAGGGGGCAAGATACCTACACAAAGAATAGAAGCAGTAAGACCCACCGGCCCGGAGTGCCAAGCACTGTTCTAATTCTGTAAGATCATGTATTTCTTACCACAATCTGAGGCAGTAGGTATTGTTATTGCCACCAGTTTACAAATGGGGAAACTGAGGCATAGAAGGTAAGTTGCCCGAAGGCCCCCCCTCCCAGTTCCTTTGGGAGGGCAGTAGGAGTTTGGACTCCTGAGTCTATGGGCGCACTATGCCGTGCTGTACTGGTGGGTCCAGGATGGAGGCAGGAGGCATGACCAGAACATGAGTGTGATGCACAGACTCTCCGGAAGAAGGTGACCCATTCCGGATTACAGACCCCTAGCAGAGCAGAGGTAAAGGACTTTAGAAATCAAATGACCCAAACTCACCTTTGTTAAAGAACTTTTTATAGTATTTATTTCTAAGAGACGGGGGCGGCGGGGGGCGGGGGAGACACAGAATCTGAAGCAGGCTCCAATGCTCCGAGCTGTCAGCACAGAGCCGGATGTGGGGCTCGAACTCACCAACTGCGAGATTGTGACCTGAGCTGAAGTTGGACGCTCAATCGACTGAGCCACCGAGGCGCCCCCAAACTCGCCTCTTAATAAGCAGGACACCAAGGCCCAGGAAGGGACTCAGTGTGATCCTGGTTGGGGAACCCAGCTTGATTTTCTGGAAAGCAGTAAGGGCCCAGCAGCACCTGCCTGTGGAGGCAACAGAGTTTGCCATGACTGGATGGCCTGGCTTGGAGCCAGTGTGCTCGCAGCCGGGGGTCAATGCTGTACTGAGGCACAGGGACCCACATCCCACATTCAGCACCGAGCCTGGCCTTTCACAGCCTACCGGACAGGGAAGCAGCTTTGTGTGGGGGCAGGCTGGGGTACTGGGGGGGGGGTAGTGCACCCCCAATTTGTCCTGCTAAGACAACTGCTCCGTCACCACTCTGAAACACTGCACTCTCGACACTGTTAAAACGTAAAACCGGCTTTGGTTCTGAACACTTAGCAAAGAAGGTGGATCGTGAAGTCCACAGATGCAGGTGGAACAGATGTGCAGAGACACGGCGCAAGGAGACCTGCCTCCTGTGGGTGCTGGTGCCCAGCTCGGAGGGGCTCGCCCTGACGCCAGCCTGGGCGGCGTGAGGTCCGTGAGCAGAGGCCACACTCTGCCTCCACGTCACCAACCTGGCGGGGACCCCAGGAGCCACGTATCCTGCACAAAGACCACTCCTTCTCATCCTCGGATTCTTTCTTCTTGCCCCACTGTTCCTGGGCACCTCTTCCCCACTTGCCATGTCCTGATCTGCGTAGCTCTTGACCGTCTCTCCCTATCCTTGGGAATCATTGGACCAGAAGACTCAGCAGCCATTCGACCCAGGAACTGTGATGTCCCAGGTAAGTCAGCTTAACGTGGTTGAACCTGTTTCCTCATCTAGAAAATGGGGACTTGGGTATAATGGACCTACTGTACTCATTTCACGGGGCTGACGTGATCATCACACAAGTGTGGGGTCGGCCGAGCATTACAAGCTTTACACACTGTGCGAACGTACCAGGCCAGGATGACCGATGGAGGGTAGGAGGCATCCAGAACAAACAAGTGGTTACCCAATGGGATATTTTTCCCAAGCTAGAGTCGGTGGAACACCTCATTCACTGTGGTTAACACTCCACCCCGCATGAGGTCTCACGCGAGGCCCTAACGATCAGTTGCCAGGTGGATGCGTGCAAGAGCAAACCCGGAACCAGTGAAGGATGGATGCATTTCCAACCGCCAAGCGGCCACTGCGCTTTTATTATGTGCCAACTGTTGTCACGGGCTTAGTTTCTGTGAAACTCAAAGGCTAACTGTTCTAATACGAAGGGGGTAAACAACTTTAATTCAAGGCAGAGAAAGAATAGTACTGTGGGGGAGGCCCCACGTGCAAAAAACAGCTTCAAAAGGAGGAAGGTGTGACAGCTATTGGGAGGTCGAGAAAGGTTCACGAGCCTCGAAGGATGCACAGAATTTTAGCCCATGTCACTGGGAAGGGTCTCCCAGGCCCAAGGGAAGCAGGGTGGGGAGCGGAGCAGTGACAGCGTAGCACGGATGGGAGTTCAGGGGAGAAATGAAAGATACTCCAGGGAAGCTTCAATCCAAAGAATGGATGTCTCCAAATATCTGCTAAGGATTGTAGACTTTCTCTTAGGACAGGAAAGAGGATATGAGGTTCTTCCAGGCATTGACCTGCTCAACTGGCTCCTTTTGCAGGAGGAGCAGTTAACTATGGCTTAAATTCATGATTCCTTGGGGCCCCTGGGTGGCTCAGTTGGTTAAGTGTCCGACTCTTTGTCTCGGCTCAGGTCACGATCTCACAGTTCATGGGTTCGAGTCCCATACTGGGCTCTGTGCTGACAGTGCAGAGCCTGGTTGGGATTCTCTCTCTCCCTCTCTCTCAGCCCCTCCCATGCTCATCCTCTCTCTCTCTCTCTCTTCCTGTCTCTCTCTCAAAATAAATAAACTTAAATTCATGATTCCTTGCCCAAAGCTAACTTACTGCTGCCTGTTATAGATGCTCTGTCTTCCACTCAAACAGGTCGTTGGCCTCTGAAACCTATGCATCAGCATCTATTTGACGGGATTAACCGGGACCGTACATATGTTTTGGGAATTAACAGTGACAATAGCTATGTGAGTCCTTGGCTTGGAGATGCATCTTTTTTGTCCAAGGGATCACAGCAACCTTCCTTCTCTGGTAGGGACTTCTTTGCAATACAAACACACCTGCAGTGAGAAAATGCATTCCAGAATTATCTAACTGGAGAAGATGCCATCGGACAGACCAGGAACTCCAGAGGTGGGAAGCAGTGGCTTGCCGAGCCACACGGCCAGTCTCCCACAGACCCGAGACCAGAGTCAGGGTCTCCTCCCTCCTGCCACTGGCTCCCAAAAACTCAACACCAGACGGGGACTAAAAGTACTTGAGGTATTTGTCTGCAGCAGAAGAGGCTGGCCCCCCATGTTAATCCTCAGTCTCCCATCCCCTAAAAGTCCAGAGCACAAGTGTTGAGGATATTGGCCAACTCCTCAAGATTCCTGTTGTTCCTGTTGTTGGCTTGCAGGGAGAGCAGGGAGTCAGGCACAAGGTCAAGGAACCTACCTTGTGCCAACAGGACTTTGCCTCAACTCTGTTGACAGCTATATCCCTTCAACCTACCACACCTGAATGCACAGCCGGGGTGAGTTGTCGCACGGCTTTTGAGCATTGTGCAGATTTGGAAATAAAGACTCAGAGAACTCGAACAATTAGACCAAGGACACGTAGCCGGTAACCGCCCCTTAGCTCAGTTTCCTGTTTCTCCATCAGCCCTTGCCCGACGTATGCACCACGCTCCT